CTGGTTAGCAGCTGAGTGCTTTAAGCATTGTGCCACCTGTGATGCTTTTGTGTACTATTATTATACAGGCCCATGTGCCCAACTTCCTGCTGCTTGATGTACCTGCTTCCTAAATGAAAAGGTCAAAAACAAATGGCAATTCACCAGGCCTTACCACACTTTACTGACTTATACATACAACAAGATTCTGATAAGAAATGCTCTTGGTAATATCACCTTTGATCTTGATATTACATACAAGGACCTTTAACAGTGCTGACACGTACATTTTACCTTTGTAACTCACCATTAACCTGACCAACAAGATCTTTATTAGTATGCTTCTTATGCAAACCTCACTTTTCAAACTCCACTTCTGAAGAAAATAAGATTAAGAGCCAACAGAGAAGGAACCGGAACCGGGCTATAGGAACCTCAGTAGTATCCATAATCATACTCAGACAGTCAGTAACACTAAAAAAATCTAGACTAACTAGTTAGTGACTGTATTATATACCAACCCCCAGTCCTCAAGTACTCTCTCTTAACCATTCAAACTGGGTCTGACCTAAATTTAAGGAAACCCCTAGGATCTGGAACAAAGGTATATCTCCACTTGGCATGAAGTCCAAAGGTGCCCTCTATACATCCCGCTTTCTGGCCCATAAGTCAGTGTCATAGACCTGTTCGATTTCCTCCCGCGACCCCGCGCCCTGCATTGCTGGTTTTAGCGTCCCAATTTAGAACTTCATCCCTCTTCTTACCCAAGCCTGCTCGCCTCATCCTGCCAGAGGAGGGAGGGGAAAGGCGGGAAGGGGGTAGAAAGGAAGGGGCCAGGGAATCTCCCGGACCGTGTCTTCAGCACCACACCAGGGGCCGATAGAGCATCAACTTCTCCCAAAACGCCACGACATCAGTAGAGTCCAAACACCGCGCTGGTTGATGGCGTCATCCGGGCGCTTATTGGTGCACTATGAAACGCATTGAGAAGCCTTCTGGGAAATGTAGTTCGTCGCTGCTGTAAGTGGCAGAGTGTCAGGGTGGTGGGACTCTCCAGCTCCAGGCCGAGGGTCTTGGGATAGAAGGGGTAGTACTGTAGGGACTGAGATCCCAGGTCTCAACTGCTGTTCTCCGAACCCCTTAGACCTTTCTTGTCAGTGTGTCGGCCCCCGAATTTAACCTATAAATCTACTTCTGCAGGACCGCAAGAGGATAATTGACATCTTACCGGCTCTAACAAACTTCCAGAATCAGTTCAAGGAAAATAAGAGAAAACCTTATTCAAGTTTCTCAAATAACTAAGTTGAGACCCACAGAGAGGAAGGACGGTCACTTTCTAAAGTAAAACAATATTGTTGTTGTTAAGTGACGTCGAGTCGGTTGCCACGCATCACAGCGACCTTGTATAGAGTCTTTGAAAAGCGGCTGGTGGGCTTGAACAGATGACCTTGCAGTTAGCAGCGCAGTGCTTATCTTTTTCCTGCTCTAGCCCCTCGGACTACGATCTACTTAAATTATAGCTGATACGTCTCTGCTTTAAAGCTGTTTTTGTAAAATGCCCACCAAAATTTTTTTAATAAGTTATTCTCCTGGGATGAAAGTTTAATTCAATAATATTTTTATAGAAAAATTTCATAAAAAGAAAAGTCACCATTCTCTAGAAACAATGGAATTAGATGGAGATTAGGTCAGGGATGATTATTGCAAATAAACGCCAAAGTTTCAATAAGAAAAATGATGGAAGGGCATCTCTTTTTTATTTAGAATCAGTAATATTCTAAAGTTAAAATATATCAGAGTGAGACAACTACAACAGAAACATCTGGAATGTTGGCACAGTGTGAAGATTGTAACCAATGTCTCTAGTCATTATGTCTAGAAACTGGAATAGGTGTACGCTTTGCTGTGCATATTTTCAACAATTTTTTTTAAGTCAGAAAAAATATTTTGCTTAAGGAAGGCCTACTCATATAAATGCAAAAATCATTACTATTTAAAAATTTTCATACCATATTTACCAACACAGACCATTTAAATTGTGTTCTGTTGTGCATAGGGTCACTATGAGCTGGAATCTACTCAATAACAACAGTAGACCCAGGCACATAGGGAATTTGGACCATTTACATCAACGCTCCTGGTCACTGTTCTAAGTATAAATCAGATGTCATGAACTAGCTTAGAAAAGTAAAGGTTATGAAACTTTTATCACTATCATAAAAGTTTGGATTTGCTAATAGAGCAATGATTTGTGTTTTGAATTCAGGTGAGTTTGGCCATGTATTTTCTCTTTTTACTGTGGAGTTAGAAGGCCATCTTTTCTCAGGAGTCAAGGGCTAGAACCTGGCCTTATCTGAAGCAGAGAGTCTCTGACACTGCCTGTCTGGAATGTTATAGTATTGAGTTAAGATTTCCATACACATGGTCTTCAGAAACTGTCTCCAGAGAGTCCACTTCCTTTAGTAGCTCATTCATTAACAATATTGATTTTCAATGTTGTTGTTAAGAGTCATCCAGAGAGTTCTGACTCATAGTGATCCTGAATAGGGTTTTCCAGGAGTTACTGATGAGTCTGAACTGCTGACCTTTAAACTGATCTTACAATTCAGTGCTAATCCTACAGCGCCACACCACTACTAGGATTCTGAAATCAAATCAAATCCCAATATTTTAATGAAAAAGAGCATTTCATTAGTTTTAAATTCTCCAACAGCAAGGTTCTCCCCCACCATAGGAAGCACATTTCTAGCAAAAATAAGGGAACCACTATGTATAATTTTTGTAGTTATAAATGTCACCTTTATTTAATTGTGTAATAATAAAACTTGTGTATGGCTAGATGGGAAATACTATTAACTTGGTTTCTTCTCTTGTCAAAGTATTTTTTTCTACAAGTCTTTGTTAATAGTCATCCCAAAAAGGTAGTTTAGATCACTAATTACTAGTTGGGAATTATGTGGAAACAATAATCTTTACAAAGAGAAATAGGAATGTATTATTTCATTGGAGCAGGGTAGAGAATATGAAACTACTGTGTCTTCCAAACTTTATTAAAGTATTAATATGGCACTTTGGGGTAGTTATCCAGGTTGGTATCAATTTTTATAGCTCAATTAGAAAGCTTTACAAAAATAAAACGTTTTCAAATAATAATGTTAACATAACTATTCATGTTTATGCACCCTTCTGAAATCATTTAGCATTTTTTCCATTAAAGAATGACTTTATTTTTGGCTTGAGGAGCCATTCATTACAGCAGGAATGCTGGACAATGACCCCCATCACACATGGCTATGACTATTTATTCAATGCCTTATCCTTGCACCAGAGAGAACAAATAAACGTTCTGTGAAGACGCTTTTCTTTTGTATTAGAAGAGGAGTGTCCATCCTTAGCTCAACTGAAGGTGTCAGGTAGTTTGAGTTTCTCAAGTGTGACATCATATTCTGTTACCAGGAGTACTAATCACACCTCCACCCTGTAAGACAGGGCTTTAGTCTTCTGTTGTTGCTAGATGCCTTCAAGTCCGTACCGACTCATAGTGATCCTATGCACAACAAAATGAAACACACTCCATCCTGCACCAACCTCACAATCTTTGCTACGCTTGAGCGCATTGCTACTGCCACTGTGCCAATGCAGCTTGCTTGGGGTCTTCCTCTTTTTCGCTGATCCTCCACTTTACCAAGCATGGTGTCCTTTGTTAGGAACTGGTCTTTTCTGGTAATATGTCCAAAGTATGAGAAACGAAGTCTGAACTTCCTGGCTTCTAAGGAGCATACAACTGTACTGCTTCCAACACAGATTTGTTTGTTCTTATGGCAGTCCATGGTACTTTTAATATTCTCCTCCAACACCATAATTCAAATGCATCAATTCTTCTATGATCTTCCGTATTCATTGTCCAACTTCCACATGTATATGAGGCTACTAAAAATGCCATAGTTTGGGTCAGGCGCACCTTAGTCCTCAAACTGACATCTTTGCTCTTGAGCACTTTAAAAATGTCACGTGCAGCAGATTTGCCTAATGCAATAAGTCATTTGATTTCTTGACTGCTAGTTCCATGAGTGTTGATGGTTGATCCAAGCAAAATGAAGTCTTTGACAACTTCAAACTTTTCTCCATTTATATGGATGTTATTTATTTGTTTATTGGTAAGGATTTTTGTTTTCTTTCCATTGAGGTGCAAGCCATACCAAAAACTGTGATCTTTGATCTTCATCAGTAAGTATTTTAAGTCCCCTAAATTTTCAGCAAGCAAGATTGTATCATTTGCTTATTGCAGATTGTTAACGAGTCTTCCTCCAATCCTAATGCCACATTCTTCTTCTTATAATTCATCTTCTCAGAAAATTTGCTTACCATACATATTGAGTAAGTATGATGAAAGAATGCAACCCTGGCACACAGCTTTCCTGAGTTTAAACCATTCAGTATCCCCTTGCTCTGTTCGAATGACTGCCTCACGAGTACAACTGAGTGTTCCGGAATACCTTGTCATGATCCAAACAATTGAAACTTTTGTGTCATCAATAAAGCACAGGTAAACATCTTTCTAGTATTCTCTGCTTTCAGCCAAGATCCATGCGATGTCAGCAATGATATCCCTCTTTCCACATTACTGTCTGAAGATGGACTGAACCTCTAATAGCTCCCTATCAATGTACTGCTGCAGCTGTTTTTTAATTAAATTTAGCAAAAATTTACTTGCATGCAATGTGAATGATATTTCCAAAGAGTTCTGCATTCGTTTGGTCACTCCTCTTTGGAAGGGGAACAAACATGAATCTCTTCCAATCAGTTGGCCAGGTAGCTGTCTTCCAAATTTCTTGGCAGAGATGAATCAGTGCCTCCAATGCAACATCAGGTTCTTGAAATATATTAATTTGTATTCCATTAATTCCTGGAGCTTTGCTCCTTGCTAATACCTTCAGTGCACCTTGGATTTCTTCCTTTAGTATTCTTGTCTCTTGATCATATGCTGTGTCTTGAAATGGTTGAACATCAACCATTTCTTTTTTGGTACAGTGACTCTGTGTATTTCTTCCATCTTCTTTTGATG